CCCTTCCAGCTCCCTGCTTGTGGCCTGGGAAAGCAGTTGAGGACGGCCCAAAGCTTTAGGACCCTGCACCCATGTGGGAGGCCTGGAGAAGGTTCCTGGCTCCTGGCTTCGGATCGGCACAGCACTGGCCGTTGTGGTCACTTGGGAAGTGAATCAACAGACAGAAGATCTTCCTCTCTGTCTCTCCTCCTCTCTGTATATCTGGCTTTGTAATAAAAATAAATAAATCTTTTTTTTTTTTAAACGCAGGCAGCTCTAGGAAATAAACACAGCAGCAGGCCTGGCCTGGTCTCTGTCCTGCCTGCTCTGTTCTGGGCACTGGGGCTCAGGCTCTGCATAGTGCCCTTCCTGGCCTCCCTGTCCTGGGTTTACTGTAGTTATTCATTTTGACTTTGTCGGGAAAGCAGAGAGACCGTCGGAGGTTTGCCATCTTCTGGTTAATTCCTCAAATACCCGCAACAGCTAGGGCTGGACCAGGCCGAGGCCAGTACCCCAGCACTTCATGCAGGTCCTCCCGGCAGGTGGCAGGGACTCCAGTGCTGGAGCCACCACCGGATAGGAGCATCTCGAGCAGCGTCGTAACTCCTGTACCCACCCCGTCTCCCCATGCCGCTCCTCTCCTCTTCTGTTTCTCTGGGGTCTGCTGGTGGAAGATGGGAAGGCCTCCTGTCACTCCCAGCAGTGGGCAGGCTGGTGAGTGGCAACTCCAGCGAGTGACTTGTCCCTCTCCATGTTGCTTCTCTTCACGTGCAGAGTCTAGCTTGCATTAGGACACCTGTAATCCTCCCTTCTCCCCTGTCCCTCTCCCCAAGGTTGCTTGTGTTGCTAGTATCAGGGCTACCTCACCGTGCAACTCTTCCTACCTTCTGTGATCAACACTTTGGCCTATTTCTTCATTCCTAGGTACACTTTGTTGAAATCCACTCCTTCCTACCAGGGAGTCTGAGCCATGTTGGGGCTGTCTGTTGCTGTTAAGGGTTTTAATATGACAAAGTCACTTTTTGAAGCACCAGGCATGGTGCTAAGGTGTACTCTCAGTTATTATGAATATTTAATGTTGCTAATTCATAAGGTCATGTCTGAGCCAAGATAATTCTAAAAGAAGAGTGCAGATGGGATGGGGTAACTGTTCCTGGAGTGCAGGCATTAGAGCCAGACAGATGTGGATTCAGCTTAGCAATTCCACTTCCCAGCTAGGTGAGCTAAGATCCTACAGGGCCTGAGTTTTCCTGGTACATAATGAGAGAATAGTAGCGTGCAGAGCCAGGGCTGGCAGAGCTGCGCCTAGGGCTGCTCCTTGGGCTGCGTGGTCTCTTGCTCTCTTGGTCTCCCCCTAATGTTCTCATGCTTTGCTTTTCCTTCTCCATAAAGTGGGAATCTTCTCTCCTTCCTTGTCTATAGCACAGCAGAGGTGAGATTCTCAAAAGGAGCTTTGCTTGAAAATGCAGGGAAACAAAGCAAATAGAAAAGCAAAATAGTCACACTCACCAAGAAGGAGCCTGAGCAGGCAGTGGCCAGAGACTGCTCCCTGGGACAGTGCTGTTGTCACACACGCCGTCTGTGTCACAGCACATAGCTGCCAGGCACCAACCTCATTCTTAGAACACAGGCTATTGCCCCACTGAATGCGGTGCACCTTTCAAAGTCCCATCCCTATTCCCTCCAAATAAAACCTCCCTTGCTACCCCCACCCCCCACCTCGGCATGTGTCCCTTGGAGGTTTTGTTTAAATGAAGGGACCGTCCCCTACTCAAAGCCTCCATTCATTGTGTTGCCCCTCTACCTAAAATCTTTGAGCTGGAGAAGGTTCTGAGAATGCTGCCTTTCAAGAGATTAAACAGCCTCTTGGGCCTGCAACCGATGCTAGGATTTTCAAGCTGAAAGACAACCTTGTGTACATTTTACGCCTTTAGAAGCTACAAATCAAAGGGAAAACCTGTGTTGAAGCTTGATGCTGCCCCTGCTTTAGTATTACTTTGTTTTCAGGGTTTCAAGGAACCAAAAAAGGGAGCTGTCCAACAAAACAAACCAACCCAGGGACCACTGATCAACATTTTGATAAATTGCAGTAGTTCCCCCTCTTTTTTTCTTTTCTTTCCTTTCTTTTCTTTTCTTTTCTTTTCTTTTCTTTTCTTTCTTTCTTTCTTTCCTTTCTTTCTTTCTTTTCTTTCTTTCTCTCTCTCTCTCTTTCTTTCTCTCTTTCCTTCCTTCCTTCCATCCATCCATCCTTCTTTCTCTCTCTGTCTTGTTTTATTTGCTTTCTATCGTTTCAACTGTTTATAGCTAAACACAATCTGAAAATATTAACAAAAGATTTCCAAAAGCGACCAATTCATGAAATTTAAATTGGGCACTGTTCTGAGTAGCGTGATGAAATCTCATGTGCCCTTACTCTGTTGCCAATCCCCTCATTCTACACCACTGGGATACAGGTCACTGCTTTAAGCCATATTTGTATTATATAAGCTACCTGCCCCATGGCAATGAATGGGGGATGGCTTTTGTTATAATACATTGTTATAATTATTCTCTTTTATTAGGCTATTGTTGTTCATCTCTTACTATACCTAATTTATAAGTTAAATTTTGTCACAGTTGCGTATAGAGAAAACCCATGGCACACACAGAATCCCGTATTACCCATGATTTGGGGTGTTCTCGGGGGGGGAGGGTCTTGTAACATTCCCCTCAAAGATGGAAAGGACTATTGTGTAGCCATTTTTTGTGAGAATAAGATATAATCTGCAAATAGTATTTAACTTATCACATGAAAAATTAGACAACTGTCAAACATCCTCAAGGGTGGGTATCTCTCCCAGCACAGCTCAGCCATCTTCTCAAAGACCAGTGTGAAAGAATGGAGTGTGTTCAATGTGCTCACAGGAAAGAGAAGGGGACTTCCAGGGCTCCTCCTACAAGCGTCAGCTTAGGCCTGCTGTGTCTATATCTCCTTTCTTCAAAACAGGAAGCTAGTATGCTTCTCCTAAGAATATCCTGAGACATAAAGAGGGATAGCTGTGATGTGTAAATGTACTTGAGTCAAGGAATGCCATGGGCTGCAGGAGTACTGGGAAGTCACAATTCAGAAACACACAGCGTGGGGACCTGGGTCCCTTCCAGCATCTCAGGGTAATGGTGGTGCTTTTGCACTCGTTCCTGGGGCCACGCCCTCGCAGAATTCTCCCTATCTTCTTTTGAGGTGTTAGGACAAGTGCAGGAGTCTGTGAGCTTGAGACTCCACTGCCAGCTGCAGGTCTGCTTTAAGGGAACACTGTTCCCCCGCTCCAGTTGCCTATTGGACACCTTGGCATTCCACGGTCTGTGCTCTGGTGACTTCAGTGGGAAAAAAATCTACTAAAAAAAATGCCCACCAAGTAAGGAAAATTCCTACATCATGAGTCCTGTGAGCTGTCAATCACCCCAAATACATCTGCTGTTCTTCTAGCCCTCCCCCCTTTTTAAAGCTTAGTATTTTCTCTTTTTCCTCAATTCTAATATCGAAAGCATCAACTTACTTGATATATGTTGTTGATCAAAAGGAAAATGTATGCTTAAATGTGTATCTTTGTACTTAGGTATATGAAAGATTGTACATTAACTTTAATTTCCCCTATTAGCCATATTTTTAAGGTTAGAAAGAGGAAAATTGCCAGTTTGGTTTTTTTCCACTGTGACTGTCTATGTAGTAGAAAGTAGGATGATCTCTGTATTAATTTTCTGTGACTTCTTATAAATTAGATGGCTCCTTACAACATATAACTATATCATGTTTTAGTTGAAAAGTCTGCGGTCGATTTTGGTCAGGGGTAAGTCAGGGGTGTTGGAGGGCCGCGTTCGCTGTGGAGGCTGCTAGGGAGCATCTTCTGCTTCTGTTGTCCCCCTTTCGGTCACCAGGAGGTGGCTTTCATTGCTGGGCTCCTCACCTCTCCTGTCTTGGAGCCAGCCACGTGGGGCTTGCTGCTTCTCTTTCCTGTTACTCTTCTGCTCCCTGGTCTATCATTTACCCACACTGTATAATTGTGAGAGTCTTCCTGGAACACCAGCATCGACTTTGCCCTTGGATGCTTATCTTAATAATGCCTGTGGATCTTCTTAGACCTTGTGAATGTGCATGTTCGCCGGTTCCGGTGAGGAGGACATGAGCGCCTCTGGGAGGCTGCTCTTCTGCCGACTGCAACCTCATCAGGAATCTCATCTTTGCTTCCCTCTTTAAGCAGTGTTGGTGGATGTCCCCTGATCTTGGAATATTTCCTCTCCATGCATACCATGGCCATGTAATCCAGAGAAAGGGAGCCAAAAGGCTTTGTGTAGGCTGTAGCCAGTCACTTCCCTGGATTCAGATATAGCATTTCCATCTGGAAAATGTGTATAATCAATAGAGCTGTTGCTAGACCCTAAAGCCTACGTGATAGTCACTGGACCCTAAAGACCACACAATTCTCTGTCCAAGACACAGCAGGGCTTTGGCTGCCTCTAGGAACCTGAGTGTACAAACCCAGCAAACAACCTGGTTCCCAAGTGGTAGCTTTCTTCCTAAAGGCATACACAGCCAAAAGGGAAGCTTACCTACAGGGCAGAGAACAGAATGGCTCATTTTCATCCTAACCCAAATCTTTCTCCCCAGCCTCTTAGACAGGTTTTTTAATCTTTGCCTGTCTTGTTTTCTCCTTTTTTTCCCCTCCTTTTGCTCTGATGTTTGTTATGCTTTGAGTGGATATTTATGCTCCTCTTATTAAGCTGACAAACATCTAATCATTCCAATCTGTTTGTTTTTTATTTTTAAATCATTTATATGTAAATGTTGGCAAATTGAATGGTCTAGTTTTGCCCTTTGAATGCCTGTGCATTCAAGTTTTTTAGGTAGATTCTTTTGTTGGTTTTTTTTTTAATTCTATTTTGAGTTTAATAAAAGCGGATATTTCTTATTGTTCCCCAACCCATAATTTTCTTTACTGAATTTTTTATTTAATTTCCTTTTGCTTTAACATTTTATTTTTCAGACACCTCTCATTGAACCTCACGTTCCTCTCCGTCCTGCTAACACCATTACCAAGGTAATGGGCTCTAGGTGGGTTGATGAGCCATCAGAGCTAGCCACGTAGGTTCCCCCCGCCCCCAGATGTGTTGCATGTGCCAGGCCATCACATCAAGAACCCCAATACATGTCCCAGGGAATGAGTATTCGGTGCTTCTCAGTTCTCAACACAAAACAAAGACCTGCCGCACAGGTGAACGATGTCAATATTTGTGAGCAAGTGATGTTTTTCTAGCCAGACACAGATTGGAAGATAAACGAAGCATTTGTCCCATGCATTTTCCTTCTCTAATTTCTCCTTTTTGTCTCCTTCCCTCCTTCTACCTGATTCAAATCTAGGTCCCTTCTGAGAAGATCCTCAGGGCTGGAAAGATTTTGCGAAATGCCATTCTCTCTCGGGCACCTCACATGATAAGAGACAGAAAATACCACCTCAAGACATACAGGTACTCATTCTAAAGGTTGTCGCCCATCAGATCCCTGTTTAGTGGAATTGAAGCAAGCATGCCTTTCTCTGTGCTTCCCTTTTGGGGACAGCCTCTTTGTAAGGTCCCCAGGTCCAGGGAGGGTTGTTTGTCTTGGATACTTGTTTAACTGTCACTGCTTAGTTACCCTTGATTGTTCTAGAGGCTACTTCTGAACTGATTTGTTTGGAAATTGGTATAATTGTTATGAAGAAAAGAAAAATCTGAAGGAAGTCTACTACACATAGATCACATTTAGCTAACTATAATTGAGCCCTTGCATATTCTTGAAGACCTGATCCAAGCCACTTTCCACCTTGTTCCATCTCCCCAAGAACACTGATAGAGAGGTGGGTGACTGGTTTCCAGATGACAAAGCTGAGCCCCAAGCAATGAAACCATTCTTTTATTCAAGTCAAGACTAGTGAATGGAAGAACTAACATTTAAACCAAGGCTGGTTGACTTCCAAACTTAAGGACTTTTCATTCATTCGTTCATTTATTTCACAAGTTTACTAAGCAAGCACAATCCACCAGCCAACATTATGTTCTAAGCCCTTAGCACACAGCAGTGAACAATATGCACAAATGCTTTTGTGAAGTCTTTATTCATTTGAAAATCAGAGTCACAAAGATCTTCCATCCACTGGTTCAGTCCCAAGATGGCCACAATGGCTGGGGTGAAGACAATAGCTGGGAGATTCTTCTGGACTTTTTGTGTGAATGGCAGTGGCCTGAGCCATTGGGTCATCTTCCACTGCTTCTCCCAGTCTGTTAGCAGGGAGCTTGATCAGAAGCGGAGCAGCCAGGACTTGAACCCAGGAATTCAGTGCCCACATGGGATGCTGGCATGACAGGCAGCAGCTTAACTCCCAATACCATCATGACAGTCCCTGGGACTTATTTTCCAATTCAGTTTTTCATTGAACCCACATATAGAAAGATGCACAACTCTATACAGTGCCCATACTCAAATGGAGGAAGGACTCCTTTCTAGAGCTGTCATTGGAATTAAGAGATGACAAAGATAAATCTGGAGGCTGCAGGGTTTTCTGAATCTTCTGGGATGAACATGGGGCCCAAAAAAGAATTGGGATCTAATCCTTAACTTTTGATTATATCAATCAAAGAGCTGGAACTGTTAATGTATTGTGCACAAGACTTTACCTTGTCTCCTAAACAAACACAGCCCTAAGTTGCCTGTCAGCAGGCTTTCCTTCCCATCAGTCTGGACATGACCTCAGAACCCATTAGCCTCAGCATGAGTCAAAACCTATTTGATTTCACATAAATGAACTTCATGAAATCCTATGAGAAGCTAGAACACAAATAATTTTAAAGTTGTTGTGAAGGTGGGGCTGGTGCAGTGGCATAGTATGCTAATCCTCCACCCTGTGGTGCTGGCATCCTATATGGATGCCAATTCTTGTCCTGGATGCCCTACTTCTGATCCAGCTCTCTACTTGTGGCCTGGAAAAGCAGCAGAAGATAGCTTGAATCCTTGGGTCCCTATACCCAAGTGGGAGACTCAGAGGAGGCTCAGTTCTAGCCTTTGTAGCCATTTGGGATGGCCACATCCAGTGGATGGAAGATCTCTGTCTGTCTCTCTTTTATCTCTGCAAAATCTGCTTTTCAAATAAAAATAAGTAAATCTTTTATTAAAAAGTATTGTGAGGATATATGTCTTCCAGAGACTACCATCTGTGATAGAACCCATAGAATTACACCTGATCCACCTTTGCATGTGTGTGTACCTCAGGGATATAGATTTCAACAGCCAATTTCCCTCTTCATGTCTGTCTGTCTGTCTGTCTGTCTCTCTCTCTCTCTCTCTCGGACTGAGATGGAAAAGCATTGCAAATGTTTCTTTTTCAGATCACTATTTTCTACACTCCACACAAATTCTCTTCTGCCTGCATTTGTGGTGACTGTGTTGCAAGATCAGAATCAACATGCCATGACATGCGCAGTCACATCTATGTTAGCCTCTCTTGACAGAAATTTGGATATGAGATGAGATTTAAAGAGCATCTCCTTTTTATCACCAGTTCATTCTTCTTGCAAGTCCTTTCTTAGGACAGATGGGTCATCCAGTCCCTTTCATGTTGGTTTTCACTAGCTATTGCTGAGGGTAGTTACAGTTGCCAGCCTTTTTCTCCAAGCCTGCAAGCTGATTGTTTGTGGACTCCGTAGCCTTATACACTGCTCTAATTTTATGGAAAGTTAAGGTTAAAAAAAATCATGTGTCACCTGTCTGCAGAAAGAAATCAAGATCTTGAATTCATTTAAGTGGATCTCAAAAATCTCATATGACCTTTCTGTATTGAACTTTTTGTTTCTTAATTTGTGATTATGCTATTCCAATTATTGCCTTAGATTGAGGGAAAATGGCTCTATTAAAATATGTCACAGTTGATGACAAATTCTGGAAACTAGAAGCCAGAATCTTTACTGCTCCCTAGCACTAGGAGAGTAAACCCTGACACAGAAGTGTGACGGCCACTCCACACCCTATGATGCAAACTAATGATCTGCTGGTGATGGCTGGTGGACTCTGCTGGAAGCCAGAGCTGTGCTTTCTTGTTTCTGCAGTTCAGTTTAAGTACTTTCTCTCCCTCTCCCTCTTACTCCTCAGCCCATTTCAATCTTTGCTGCAATTTGGGGAGTAGGGGTAGTTAAAGCCTCTGCAGAGGTGGGGTCACCCCAATGGAAGCAACACTCACATCTACTAGCTGGGCTACCAGAGCTAGGAAACATTAATTGAAAGATTCCCCAGCAATTCCATCAGCTACAGGTTATATGGCCATGGCTCTGCATTACAAGATCTGACTGTAGCAGTAGGGACCCACATGCTCTGGGCTCATCCTGATTGCATTGCTTCTTGTCATAAGGCAGTCAATGAACTAAAAGCCAAAGGACCTTGATTTTTTATAGTCTTATAATAGACCTTCTCCATTAATAAATTCCCTAGAAAGAAAAGAAAACACTGACAGGAAACAGTTTGAAGAGAAACTCTTTGGTTCCAGGTACATAGTGAGCACCTCTTTGCCCATCGACACTCTAATGTATGGGTCTAGATGGTAACAAGGACAATTTTAGAAATCCAAAAGCTTTCTTGGGCTGGGGTCAGTCCCCAGTCAAGACATTCTCAAAGTCAGTCAATTTCAGAGGTCCTACAATATTAGCACTGGCAAAGCCAAAGACCTCAGAGACAAGGAAACATACGCCCTGCATTGGCCCAAGTCACCTGGCTAATAAGTAACTAGACCTAGGACTGTGGTCCCTATCTCCTTCCACTTCGAGACTTCCCAAAGTGACACAGCACTAGAAATCTGCTTCAACTTAATCTCTCTGGGCTTGATCCTGTCTCAGCCTGTGTCCCCAGAGGCAGGTCATCCTTCGCATGGGAGGAAAGGCCACGGGTGACCCAGTCCCAGTGGCAAGCAGCCAGCACCCCGGCTCCCTGATTTGTCCCATTGTCCCCTGGGAGACAGCTCTGGGACTTCAAGGTTTGATTTCCTCCTCTGTGACACATCTCAAATACTAGCCTTCACAGAAAGTTTCAACATTTCCTGATGTGTTATTAGTTACTCAATACTATGTCCACTAATTCCATAACGTGGATTGTTGCTGATGTTATGTTGGGGCTTTTGACTGGTCGGGATGACACTCTGCCGGCTCTACCTTCAGACCAGAGATGGGCTCCACAAGAAGCCATTGAACTTACCTGGACAGTAAGATGCTGGACTCTATACTTGGTATATGCTTGCAATGAAAGAACCCCAACTGAACTTGAACTGTGGCAATGCAGCAAGGTGGAGGAATCCACCATGGGGGGAGTGTTGGGGGAGAGGGAATCCCAGTGCCTAAAACTGTGTCACATAACACAAAGTAATTTTAAAAAAATTTCCTGATGTGTGTCCCGTAATGATGCCTTTCTTGAGTGATACAGTTTGCCCATTCACATCAACTCATTAAGGGAGGGGATGGAGGGGATGAAGGTGTGCATACATACACAGAAAGCACGTGCAGCCCTCCAGCTAACAGGCTCTGCAGAAGTGCTCATGCTCATTACACAGAACTTTTCTTCCAAAGAGATTTGCATCGCTAATTGCTCGTTTCTCCCAACACCCCTCGGAAGGAGATTGGTAGCATTACTTGAGGATATAAAGTGCTCTATAATTTTGCACTTACGCTGCATCTTTAGGGGAGCACCTCCAAGTGCCTCCTAAACATTAACTCATTCCTTCACAAAGCTCAGGTGAAGGAAGTCTTTGCTGGCACCCCTTCAACATAACAATTTGTGTTCCTGTGACTAGTTCACTAGACCATATCACACCCTTAGGTCATATCCTCTGGTCTCCCCTGGTGCTGCAACTGGTCTACCGGTTCTAGCAGTTTGAGGGTCTTGCTTGAATGGTTCTCTAATGAGCCAAGTGGTTTTATTGGTTTGTATCCACGTTTAAGAACCAGAAGCTACAGCAAGTGATGCTTTGTTTTGCTGTGAGAATCCCTTGTGTTTGGGAAAGCACTGAACTATTTGGAAAGTTCTCTCAAAAGCAACTTGCATCCTCCTATGTGCCACGGGGTGATTTTCCCATCTTTGTGCTCCACCCCATAGACAATGCTGTGTGGGAACCGAGCTGGTAGACTGGATGATACAGCAGACTCCGTGTGTTCACTCCCGGACCCAAGCTGTTGGCATGTGGCAAGTCCTGCTGGAAGATGGCGTTCTCAACCACGGTAAGATGCACCAGCATCCCAGGAAAATCCTCCTGGATTGCTAAGTGCATTTCTTCCAAGCAAGTTGTTGCTTAGTTCCCCTATGGACAAGAAAAAATTATGATCCCTTCATGGACCCACAGAGCTGGCATCTTCATTTAGTAATGCAAATGTGGTGAACGGATGCTATTGATGGCCATGTTCCACCACTGTACCTTCCTAACTTCAGAGAACGTATGAGAGGAAAATGAAATTGCAACCCGAGTGCATCCATTCCAATTATGTTTATTAGTTTGCATTCATGGTTCATTGATAGTGTGATTACACGCTAAGCACTGCATAGCACTTCCGATGCAGGAGCAGAAGGAAGAGCAATGAAACATGTGGCTAGGCTGATGACATTCAAGTAGGTAATGAATTCAGAAGCTGCCTTTTAACTGTGCTGTTGTCTGGGAGAGCCAATTTGTAACCCCGTGGGATGGCCATATTTAAAATCAGCAATGTGCTCCACAGATTGCAGCAGCCCCTCATGACTGCAGGGGCTACCACTGAACATAGTAACTAGGTAAGCCTGGAGTACCACTGTGACTCAACTACCCACGCCATCAGCTCACACGTGTTCTGCAAAACAGACAAAATATTAAGATCATCCGTTTAATTTGCCAACACCTGGGAACCTAATGATGGTTTTCCTGGTGTTTCTCAAATGTTTGTTCATGTGCATACAAATCACCCAAGAGTCTTGTTAAAATGCAGATTCTGATTTAGCAGGTCTGGGATGGATCCTGAGTGTCTGTGTTTCCAACAAGCTCCTGGCTATTGCTGCTCTGAGGCTCATACTTTGAGCAGCAAGGGCTCACTTCCTCTCCCCATCCTTTAAACAGAGGAATGCTCCCTTGGGCCAGGGGCTAAAGGCCCAGAGACATATATGAAACATCTTAAAAAAAATTCACAGGCAATGCATATTATGGGAAAAAAAAACTTTTCCTAGATTTCAATTTGTTTGCATCAAAATATACCTTATAAAAATGTTTGTTAAGACAAAAAGACTATGCATGAATTTCAGATTTTCTTTTGCACTAGCTCATGCAATATGAAAAATGTATGTTTTGAAAAAACTGTGCTTGTATTTCAAAAATTGTGGCACCCAAGCCAACTGTTAATTCCATTGTCCTCCCTGAACCTTTGTTGAGGAGGGGTTTTGAGTTGAGTTCACTGTCTGTCCTACCAAGAGGTAAATCTTGCTGTTTACAACAGTGAGAGTGAACAATTTTTTTAAATCAAAACTGAAAGCACATCAGCTAAAATCCTGCTCAAGGAGTGTGAATGACCCGGAAGCGTGATCCACTATGCTTAGTTCAGACTAAGTTAGTCTAACTTTCCTCTGTCGGCACGCAGGTGGAAATGTTAGTAAACAGCACATAGAGAAAACGTGAATTTTGACCCTGACAAGATAGTTTCACTGTTGTTTTTAAGCCCACACCTCCCCAAACCGTTGTGGGATTTGTTCCTGTAAGGGAGCTACATTCCACATCCTAGAAAATGTCACCGGGGTGATTCCTGCACGTCCAAGCACTCATCTCATTTAGGTTGGCAGGTTCTCAAAGGGCGTCCTACGGAAGCCGGGCGAGCTGTGGGGTGTGACTCCAGCCTTGAGGTCATGTCTTCCAGCTTCCCCGCCTGGCTAGGGCGGGGTGTCAAAAGTGCGGAGTCCCACCACAGGGCCGCCCCCTTGGCTCTGCGGCGTGGGGGCCCACCACTGCCTGATTCTGGGAAACAGAGCTGAGGCAGAAGTCCCTGCCGACGCTTGCCCCCATGTTCCCTACAGTGGACCAGGAGCACCATTTCCAAGACAAATATTTATTTTATCGATTCCTGGATGACGAGCACGACGATGCCCCTTTGCCCACTGAGGAAGAGAAGAAGGAGTGTGATGAGGAGCTCCAGGACACCATGCTGCTGTTATCGCAGATGGGTCCCGACGCCCACATGCGGATGATCCTGCGCAAACCGTGAGTGAGCGCGCACGCACGCCACCTCCCACGGCCGATCTGGGCCTTTAGGGACACAGGGGAAGGGGTGCGACTTTAATGTTTGCTTTTCTTTTTACTCTATGTTCTTATTCTGGAGCCTGAAAATCCATTTCCTATTCATCTATCGAGATAATCAGCCGTTGGCACAGGATGCCAAACTGAGGGCCACTGTTAAAAAGACCTTTGGCCAATGACGCACACACATGGCTCTGTTGCTGTGTCAGACTGCAGCAGCACCTTTCTTGCTAATCCAACCGAACAGGGGTTAGTAGAACTCTTGGGCTCACTTGCATTGGTTCGTTCATTCATTCAGCCAGTCACTTGGCGCATTCTGAGCTTCCTGCACTGTGCTCACAGACACGTTCTCTTCAGTCGCCGCTTCAAAGGTCTCCATTCGGCCACGAGACAGGCGCGCCCGGCATCTCTGAGACGTGTTGAGCCTTTCGGCAGCAGCCTGCCGGTTGAAGTTGAGGACTGGGGAGATGTAATCGCATCCATTCAGGGAGAACACGTGGCGCCCCATCACTGGTGGGGCACTCCACTGTTAGAAGCCCGGCAGCCTGTCGATGGTTCCAGGGCATGCATAAGTGTGTGAGCTGATCCTCCCCAGAACACCTTCCTATGGGGCGTGGCTTGACCCTTGCTTCTGAAAGCAACACACACACCCCAACCCCACACACACCCCAACCCCACACACACCCCACCCCACCCACACACACCCCACCCCCACCCACACACACACCGGCTTAGATTTTGCTGCTGAAAATGAAATTGCCTCTGCCCTATAGCCTGTGCCAGGCAACTGGGGCTCTGGACTCTTTAAGTCACAGCCCAGCTGACCTTCATTCATTCACAGGCCTTCGCAAGATCATTAAGCGACCACATCTTGGTGTCGGCTGGGCCCTTTCTGAGAGGGCGGAATCCCTTAGACCAACTTCCCCAAAGTCTGCCCCTCGCCCCACCTCACAACAGGTACAGCTTTATTCCCTTCCCCTAGGGCACTTTCCCTTTCACTGGCCCAGGCTCGGAGCTGCAAAGCCTTTTCAGCATGCTTCATTTTGGTCACACCATGTCCCCTTTGTCGAAACTTTTCTCTGGGGTCCTCCTCTCCCCCATCGTGTGTTTCAAAGGCCTTTCCTCCTCCCTATTGGCACCCTCATCCTTAACTCTAGAACCATGCCTGTCAGCTCTTTGAGCCTCAAAACCCCATCTTCAAACAACAAAAAATATATATATAGCAGGAAAATCCCAAATATCAAAGAGAATGGCAGCAGCTTTGCTGACCTGAGCAGGAGTCGAGTCCAAGAAGCCTGCCTCATCAATTTGTGTTTGCTCTGCCCTGAAGGATCACAGGGGTAGGACCAAGGGCACACAGGGGCCCCCCGGGGCTCCGGGAACTGAAGTGAATGTACCATCTGACCCAGGCCTTCTTTGCTGCCAGACTGCCTGTCTTCCCTCATGAACTTGCCCTCCACTTGTCCTTCCTCGGCTCATTTCCTGGGTCCTTCCTCCCTTTTGTCACCTGCTCTCAGGCCCACCTCCTGCAGTGGTTCTAAACCAGGGCATTTGGAAATGGGAGCAGCTCTCTCAGTGGTCGGATCCCCAGGGAAGGGGCTCACGTTGCTGACACTTGTGCAGTGGTGGCTAAACCCAAGGGATTCCCAGTACAACACAGCATTGAGGAACCCCACAAAATGTGGGGCTGCCCTGAAAATAGTGCCTGTTGGGAAACAGGGCAGTAAACTGTCTTACTGGGCATAACCTGTTTTACTTCCTTCATTTGTTTATTGACCGCCATGTATGGAACACCTGCTTTGCTGTAACTCCTGCTTTAGGTGCAGAGGCATTAGTGGAAGCTCTGAGCAAGAGGTTTGGTCCTCCCTCCTTGAGCTTTCTGTTTAATATGGGAGACAAAACTTAAACAGCTGTTTATACAAGCTGTTATTTAATCACAGCCACAAGACATGCTACAGAGTAAAGTGTATTCATGTGTTAACATAGATTGGAGAGGAGTTCTAACCTGTATGGAGTATGAGGACCATAGCCTGGCTCTGTATATAGCTAAAGGATTTATAATCCAGGGAGAGAGGTACTCACTGATTAGATTCAAAGGCAGCATGGATTTACTGAGTTCCTACTGTATGCTAGAACCACTTGTGCTAATTGTTTGATTCACTCTGCCAGCAAGACCTAAGATCTGTGTGTCCTGAGCTGTCCTAGGGGTGGGAGCTTCTCTCCGGCTTGCATTGTCTTCTGGAAGGCCTTGAACCGCTTAACGCCCAGGAGTTCGCAGACCCTTCTGAGAGAACTGCAGGCTCTAGCTAAGACATCTGGAGTTTGTCACTGGCTCTCAAAGCACACATTTCACCCAGATTCCAAGAGGTGTTACCTTGGTAGCCTGTGGATTCTCCCATCTTCTTAATTATTTGACCTTTTTGAACCAATGATTATTGGGCTGGTGGTTTTTCTTTTGAGTTTTGGGGTTTTCTTCCACTGGGAAGACAACTTCCAAGAGATGGGAAAGTGAAAAAGAAGAACTCTAAGTTTGGGAACCAAGCATTCAAACCCAGCCACACATCGCGTTTTTAAGTCTCCTGATAACCTTCAACAGCTCTTGCTTTAAGTGGAGACAAGTGTAGTTGTTTGTGGTTACCAGTATCAACACTGTCCTTGAAGAGGACCCAGCTGGATAACTTTACTTCTGGACATTGAGGACTTGTTCAAAGGTCCTGGGACTGCTGACTTCTTACTACCCAAATTGCCAACTCCGTAAGAACCATAGATTTGTGAGACGCCCTGGCTCGACAGGGACCAGGGCAGGACTCCCCATTTTGTAACTCAGCCCAGCTGCTTTTTAGAGTAGTCACCCCTGCCAGAGAGGGTACCCAACTCGGATAATTACTGGGAAAGAAATAACACAATATTCTTTGATGAGAAGATTACTTTGAGAATTTGATTGTATAATGAAGATGTTGCTTTGAAAGGTACTTCCTATTGTTCTGAATCTGAGACTCGCTAGCCAAAAAAAAAAAAGTGTCACTTGTTTTGACAGGCTACTTAGAAAAATTCTCTGTTTATTACATTAACTGCAGCATTTTAACTGTCAAACTATGAAAGAATGTTCTGTAGTTTAAAAAACAGAATGGAGCCTCAGGGGAAATTTTTTGGCACACTCTTGTTGCTATTGGTATTGAAAAAAAAACATACATTTTGAATGTGAAATTAGCTTTTTATGTGGTGGCAGACAGAGTGATTCACAATGCCCAGCCTGGTTTCACAGGTGCAGACCTGGATGGCATTTGGGGGCAAGAGCTGGAGAGCGATGACAGTTTGACAGGGCCGTTGTTGTAGCTTTAAGACAGGCCATCAACTGCAGAAGGAGCTTTAGGAGCCTATTGTTTTGATTTTTGCTTTATTTATGAGTCTAGAAACAAGAGGTTACTCTATAGCAAATAGATACAGTGGAGGCCCTTTACAAGTAGAAATATGCATTTTATCTGCATTTCAGCAGGTTCATTGGATAGAGAATTGTGGACAAAAAGATTCTGAGTAGCCATATAAGTAAACTATTATAAATTGGGGGGGTGGGGCTGGCATTGTGATACAGTAGGTTAAACCAATATCCCATATGAGCACGAGTTTAAGTTCCATCTGTTCTACTTCCTGTATAAATCCCTACTGATGTGCTCAGGAAAACAGCAAAGATGGCACAAATCCTCGGGCCCCTACCACTCATGTGGGAGACTCAAATGAAGTTTCAGGCTCCTGGTATTAGCCCGGTCAAGCCACGGCAGACATCTGGGGTGTGAACATAGGAAATTGCTTCCCTCTCTCTCTCTTTCCTTGTCTCTCCCTCCCTCTCATTCTGCCTTTCAAATAAATAAAGATTTTTTTTAAAAGATATGATAGCTTTCAGATGGGCAGTTGATGCAGTGGTTGAGATGCTGCTGGAGAATGCTGTATCCCATATTGGTGTACCTGGGTTCAAGTGCTGGCCCTGCTTCTACTCTAGCTTCCCATTGGTGCACACCTGGTAGGCAGCAGATGATGGGAAAAATGCTTGGATCTCTTCTTTCCACAAGGGAGAACTGCATTGACTTCTGGGCTCCTGCCTTTGGCCTGGCCGCACCCCAACTGTCATGGATATGAACTGGTGGGCAGAAGATCTCAAATCTCTGGCTCTCTATCTCTTATCACTGTTTTACTCTGAGTCTCTAACTTGGCCTTTCAAATAAATAAAACAGATATTTTTTAAAGGCTCAATTCCATCAGCTTAAGTAGTTGAGAAACACAGAAGTCAGAGCACAGAAAAAAATAAAAATAATAACCTGAGAGCTTTGTTGGCAGGTTTGGAGTCCTCCAAATGGGTTGGAAACTCTGAAACGTAAGTTTGCTTGTTAGTATGATAAGATAATGTTTTCCAATGCATGCTTAACGTTGAAAGGAGATGCTTTGTGATGGATCAAAGGACATTGGGTGGGCAGAAGCGATGCCCATTTGTCCACCCAATGCCCCGGTACCAGACTGCCCTGCGCAGGCCAAATAAGGCCACTTTCACCTGCTGTTCCATACACGTACTCTAGGGGGCGCTTGAGGGAGGCTAGTACTTACTTTTCATTAGCAGAACCTGTTACAATAGGATCGTTATTGGAGGGTGTGAAGTTCAAAATCCTGATAATTACAGGGGAATTTTTTTTTTTCCCCTCAAGGGATCTCTGACTAGCAAGGCTGAAATCAGTGGTACTGTGGGTTGTGATTTCTGGTGAGACTTGCCAACACAATGTTCAGGCATAAAGTCCATCCCAAGTGCTAATCAGATGAGTGGAAACGTGTGCCTGAAAGAGCCTAATCTTCTGCGACAAGAAATTCACTGGGAATCCTTTCCCTCACGACATGACAAACTTTGCCTTTGTTTTAGCTGGAAGGGTGGCTGTGCCCTAAATGACAGCCTGTGGGCCACGTCTGAATAAATGACTGAT